CCGCTGAATTGCAGTGCTCCCTCTTGCAGTTTTTTTCTAGAAAAACCCCTGGACACCGTCAGAAATTAGTTCTAACTAGATTCTCAGTACCGGGGTAGTAGTATTGACTCTGGGTCCATAGGTCTTCACTTACCTACTGACTTATTTGCACTGCCATTTGGCATTGCATGTTTGTGTTGCGTAAGTCTATGATATGAACCATAGCTCTTCTGTGTTGATAAAAATCCTAATATCTAAAATAACAAGTGAAATACACAAAATATATCAAAACTGATTAAAATACCATCACAAAGAACACGAGAAGAGATATGGACCCACAGCTAAGTGGTAATGTACCAGTATGTCTGTACAAAAGCATTTGTAGTTTTAATAATTAATTGTTATTCTTGATACTTTCAGGTAAATTTGGTCGATATATTTTATTAGGCAGTGCGGTTGTAGGGTAAGTTTACTTTATTCTCATTGTTCTATAACAGAGTAGTTCAAATGGTAAAGCATTGTGACAATGATTACAAACTCAGTCATCTTCTAATTACTGTGAATTAATTTTAAATATAGACTTAATAACTTGATTTTAAAACATTACACTATGCGTCACATTACATCCACAGTGATCCCAATCGGGTATCGCAACATATGGTGCCATAGATGATTTCAAATCATGAACTTCAATCTTATTTTACTCATGACATAAACGTAACTACAGACATGTGGCAAGAAAAGAAGTGAATATAGAATGTAACGATGTGGATAGAATTAGAAAGTATAACTCTCAGATTGAACGACTTTGACGACATGTTGAAAGTTTTAAAGCATATATAGATGCCATGAGTGGTCACATCTGTCAGGCTCACAAGATTGACAAGAGTCTTGGTTGCATAACTTTGTATTTCTGATTGCATCTAAATTAATCTAACAGTATGCTAACATTGTATATTTTTGGGAGAATTCCTTGTTTTTTGAATGTCCATCTCTGACGTAACTTGGCTGTTATTTGGTAAACTGCATACTTTCTCCAAGCTCCATCGGAACAACTCATTTGCTGTGTGTGTGAAATTCTCGCTAAACCTATGGATGCTTGATCATATCATGGCAAATGTTGCATCTGTCAGTATCAATTTTCATTCGAAAAAATTCATGTTTTGCCATCTTTACAGTGGTGTAGCCTTGTACAATGAGCTGAATTATTTGGATAATGCGGTGCAATATAAAGTAGACACTAGTGATCCGGAAAAATGGAAGACCTACATTTACATTCCTGGTGGTAAGTATTTTTCATATCCTTTTTGTTTGCTTGGGTATTTACATATTTTATAACTTTGAATGTTAAAAAATGTGTGTGTTTTTGCTTAAACCTACGTTAGTGACCGCATCTATATAATATAAAGATACCACATACAAGGAACAACTTTTAGGTAGTCCCAAAGCATAACATATGAGCAACCTGTGTATAAAGACAATCTGTCTATATAGTAACCACTCTTTCGGCAATATTTTTTTTATTTTAACCTCAAAGCGCCACAGTCATGTATGTGTTGAAATTTTGTTTAAATAAACAATGTGTGTTACATGTGATGTATTTGTCTCATCGGATCTATACACCCTATAGTAAATGATATTTACAGTTTGATAAGCAGAAGGCATTTCAAAATAATAAATCCATACACAGACCTAAAACAATAATTATAATGTACACATGTAGCAAAGCATTACCGTTAAAG